ACACTTGCAAACAGTGAGCACAGTGGGTTAGTGGGGTATCCTTATCTGCAGTAAAACAGGCATCAATCACAGCTCACTCATCATCATTCTGATAGCTAATTGCTGATAGCAGTTTAGTGCTCTTCACTGTTTGAAGCCCTTTCAAAGAAGACAGAACTGAAACTATACATCACAAAACCTATCTGTCTGGGTTTTCTTCATGCCCAATTAGTTCATTCTACTGTTTTTCTGAAAAATATCCTGTTTGTTTTAATGAAACCCTTTGCCTTTTAGACACATCTCCCAGAACTTGAAACTGCAGAATCCATCAGAACACGAGCTTTTGTTTCTTGGCTGAGAGAACAGAGACCTTTCTTTCCTATACTATATATAATAAAGTAAGTGGGTTTTAAGTTGTTGTGCTTCTTGAGGAACCTGTCAACAATACATATTTGGATATCATATACTGAACTTCCTTAATGGAAGTTTTAATGATGGTGTGTGCTGTGCCTGACAGATTTGACAACAGATATGACTTGTTGTGAGTTGTCTTAAATTAGAATTTCCACAGACTATAAAAGACTAAATGTCACAGAACAATCTTTAGGTAATGTCATATAAATGAAGTAAATGCTGGTAAGTGCCCTTACTAGGATTAATCACTATTAAGGGCTCTTTGGGATGCACTTTTCATATGTCCTTAAGCTCTTGAAATGTTTTGCCTGTAACTTTATCAATGTATTGCACTGTAGCTCTTGGCAAATGTTTATTTCACTCAAACACTATTTTCATTTTTAAGGGATGAGAGTCCATTGAAATCAAGTTTTCTGCAAAATATGATTGAAGACAGAACAGAATCAGCCTTATCATACTATGAATTCCTCCTTCATATACAGCAGCAAGTGAATAAATGAAACACTGGCCTTTGGCTCACTTCTTTAAGGAAAGATTTTGCAGTAAAGAATGATTGTGCTTGTAATATCTTCATTAATTCTGTGGCCTGAGGCAGTTGATGAGAAGTTCTCACTGTGATTTCAACGAACTAAAGCAAATAAAGGACCACATCTGAGAATCAAATGTGCAACTACATAAATATTGTACCTTAAAAAAAAAAAAATCAAACTGTTGGAACCGGTTGAGCACCTTTAATTTGCTGCAAATCGTGTTTTTACTGTAAGTAGTTGCAGCATGAAGTACATTTACAAAGGCAATACTGAAAAGGTGAAATACATTTTGTAAAATAAAGAGTTCTTTGTTGTTCAAAATGTATATTTCTGTAACTTTTTGCCTTTTTTTTTTTTTTTTTTTTTTTTTGCTGCTAGATATAAAACCTCACAATACTGATCATGATTTGCAGGGAAATTCTTTCTAAGTGCATCCAGTGATTACAGACAGAGCATCTCAATGTTCAACTTAATGCTTAAAGTAGCAATGAAACAAGTGTTCATTGTGAAATGAACAAATACGGAGTGTAGAATCCAGTGCTTGGATTTGGATTATGGCTAATAGGACTAAAGGTAAGCTTAACCTGGACGAGATGGCTGAATTCATAAAGCTTTTAATAAGTCAGTATTCTAATTTAAAAACTGGGGAGGAGTGAGCCCTACATGAGGTGGCTGAGTCAGCAGCAAGAGTAGACTTGGTAGATGGCAAGCTTTGCTTTTCTTCAGTAGAAGGAATAATTTTAATTTCAGTTTGTGGGAGGGGAAGGGCAGGGAAGGTTATCTCAGATTTATTGTTTTGGTTTACGTTCAGTAGACTTTTGGCTGTTGTTTACGTGAACTGAATGTTGGGCCCCTCAGATCTGGTGTTTGTGTGGCAGCGCTTGGGGCCAAATGTTTAGAGACAACACTGAACGTTCTGATGTTAAAACAGGAAATTATTTCTCCAAGACCAAAATTATTATATCGCATTTGAAGATTCGTGTATCATTGCAGACATGCCTGAAGTTGTCAAAGAAGGGGTTTTTTACTGTAGCTGTGTGATGAGCCCAGGTCCAAAGCCAGTGTGCACCAAATAAAAGCTTTAAATATACTCTCAGATCCTGCCAGAGCTGCAGATTGAAGCTGACATCAGACTTGAATCGAAAATTTATATACAAAAAGTATTTAAATAACTTTATAGAAGTGTATTGATAGTTGTTCTGGTTTGAAGATTAGGCTGTCATTGATAGCTGCCAACATAGAGTATTTAACTTGCTGTATCCCTATGCCTATGGAAGTGTTGCATATGGAGAAATCTTGGTTTGCTTTTTTGTTTAAGAGTGTAAACTTAAAGGTCTTGCAAAACCAGCTTCCTGGGGCAAGTAACTTGAAGAGGTTGTACACTTGTAAGTGGTCAAACGTACTGTGCTTAGTTCACTTACATTTGGTGACACAAATGTCAGTGGGGTCAACATTTGGGTCAACATTTGCTCCCATTTCAGGCTGTAGCTGCACGTGATTGTCAGGAGTTGCCTTACTTCAGGGGAGGAGTTCCTTGGGGGAAATTGTTCTTGTGGCTCGAGCACAAGAAACTAAAGTTCAGAACAATGACTAAAATAGCATGGAAAGCCTATTATAGAACCAATTTAAGCTTCCCTGTCTGCTGCCTCTGTAGCAAACAGGAATATATTTACTTGAACAGCTTTTCAGAGAATTGCACAGTTTCTAGTCATAGTGAAGAGGTTTTTTAAGTTTTGACAGTCTGATTTTTTTTTTTTCCTGGGGGGAAAATCATAAATGGAACCTCTGCACTTGCATAGGTTCTGACTGAAACCTTGTGTTTTGGGTATATTATCACCCAGATGTTGAAAACCATCCTTACATCTAACAGCCCACCCAAAGTCTGTTTGTTACTATGACTGTATTTTGCTACTATATCCCTTATTTTTTTTAAGAAACATAAATGTTGGAGGTGGCCTCATTGCTTTATGTACACCAGACTAATGGCTGAAGATGTCTGTCTTTGTGGCAATTAACAACTTTGGAGTCCCTAAGTTTGACAGAGCAAAACATGATGAGTCCGATGAACCCTCTTGGAGTTCTCTTCTCTTTGGAAGAAATTCTGTATTAATTTATTCCCTAGCAGTGGGGAAGGCCTGCTGGTTCACTTGTACTGCTGTAAGGGCAACACAGGGCAGATGGACACACACACTACCTAGGATTTCTCATTTTTACATAACGTTGAAAAATGAGGACACTGAAGATGAACTGCAAAAGTAGGCAAGAGTGGCTCTGGTACTTAGATCTCAGCATGACAACTCTCCCACTGCAAATGTGTGGTAGAGGTGTGTCTGTTTTTCTAGTTGAACACTTTTGTTTAAGCTATTTCTGTATTTGACACATTGGTGTTCAGCGAACAACATTGTTACCATCCATTTTACTTTGCTTTCATTATCGTTTTTAATTTAATATATTTGAGTCTAAGTCCACATAGACTGTGTTGCAATAACTAGAATGATTCACTTTTATTTAGAATTAATTTCTTAACAGATTTTAATCAAAGATGCAGAATGGCTGTTAAGTTAAGGGACCATTAAATGTGATTTTAAGGTTCTGTTTACTATTATGGATGTAATCCTTATAGTAAATTTAATTTTGTAAAGTAGTGTATAATATTGTAATATTAAACCTTTGTTTTCTGAACTCAAACATTTGATCTTCAGTATGAAGTTATAAATCTTCCCCCTTCTGAATTTGAGACAGGATTTACTTGTCCTCCTTTTTACAGTTTGTAATTTTCACTGTTTTATTCCTGTAAAAAGTCATTTGTAACACATGCAAATGCTTATTTTATCTGTGCTAATTTATCAGATTTGGCTACTCAATAAAATTAATTGAAAGAACTCATGCAAGTCCATCACTCCTTTCTTATAAATAAAAATAGAGTAATGTATTTGATTAAGTGAGATAAATACCATGCATCAGTCAAGAAGTTGGTCTCAGGAGCCAGCTGACAGTGATGGTTGGAATTTAGCCTTCAGCAGCATTCCAAGATGGCGATCAATTTTCTTGTAGGTGATCCTGTATCTTCATTTAACATCCCATTCTTTCAGCACCTTTTTGTAAAAGTCATTTCCATTTTACGCTTGCCAATTCTTTTGTGGGGTGTTGTCACCGCTGCTTCTGGTTCATCGTGGATGAGTTAATGCATGAGCTTGGTAGTCAGATCTCTGTATTTAACTGTTTTTTGAATACAGAATTCTATCATTCAGTTTTGTTGAAATATTAATTGGACTTGTCAGCACTGGAGTTTTTTTCCCCAATACACATCCCAGTGTCCTGCTGCTGCTGAGCTCCACCACTCCGGCTGTGGCTCCGGGCTTTGGAACCCTCAGTGTGGGATCTCCTGTTCCTACTTGAGGTGTCTGGGGCGTTAAGGAGCAAAGTCGTTTGGTGTCGAGGATGTGGAGGGCAATTATGTGAAGTACCGATGGAAATGATCCCTGTGCCCGCTCCTTCAGTTTGGCTCTCGGGTGCTGTCGCCCAGTGGTTGTCTGTGGCAGTGTTCAGGGAGAGGAAGAATTAATGTGGTACAGCTTTATCACCTGTCACACAAGGAGAGGTGTGATGGACTTTTAGCGTGCATAAACATGAATATTATGCGTCTTGCTAGAAAAAACTGAATGCACTCCGAGTTCTGTAATGTCACAGCAATTCTGGAATCCTGGAGCCTTCCTCGTGTGTTGGTTTTTGCTCAGTGTGCACAGTCAGTCCGCAGCGGTGCGGCGGCAGATTGGGGTGTTCCCCTGTGTGTGCTGCACGCTTGTGTGCGCTGCACAGCCCCTGCCCAGCCTGAGGGTGCCCCGTCATCCCGACCCCTCAGCGCCGCCATCGCCCCTTCCCGCCCTCACAGCGCTGCGACGTCACCTCCGAGGCCGCGCCCGCCATCTTTAGTGCAGGCGCCGCGCCGTTAGAGAGCGCGGGGAGCGGGACTGTCCCCCAGCGCGTCCCGCCTTTCTCTTGCCCTTACCCAAAATGGTGGCGCTCGCTTCAGTAGGCGGGCAGGGCGGTGCCCGCGCCTGCGCGGGGCGCGGGGCGGGCGCGGTGCCGGGCCTGAGGAGCCGGGGATGGCGGACAGCGGGGCGGGCGCGGTGCCCACACCGCCGGGTCCCCCCGCGGGGCTCTCGGCGTCCCAGCGCCGCGCCGAGCTGCGCCGCAGGAAGCTGCTCATGAACTCGGAGGAGCGCATCAACCGCATCATGGGCTTCCACCGGCCCGCGGCCGGCAAGGGTGAGCCGGGTGGCGGGGGTGGTGTGAGGGCTCCGCGCGGGGCTGCGGGGACGCCTCGGGCTCCTCTCGCCCTGAGCGCTGCCTGCGCTCCCCTCGCGGGCAGGAGCGGCGGTGACAGGGCCCGCTGGCTCCCCAGGGTCCCTCAGTGCCGCCTACCCTCGCAGGGATGCCCTGAGAGCAGCGCGACCTCCGAGGGACCCGCCCTCGGGTAAGATCCGTGTGTCACCAGAACGTCGGGGCTTGGGGCCGACACTGTCCCTCGTCATTTTACTGCATGTGGGTTTTCTTAGCTAAAGAAAGGGTGAGCCTCCCCTGCAAGTGGTTTTTCTTAGTTAGAGACAGGATGAGCCTCCCCCAGGTTTCCAGTCATTTACTCCTGGCTTTCGTAGCTGGGTTTTTATAGCGGTCGGTTGTCTCCCGTTTGGGTAATGACCAGGCGTTGGACGTTTGTGGTTGGCATGCAGGATTTTCTTGCAGAATCATAGGTAGGTCGTTTATATTTCTCCACATGCTTCAAGCGGGCTGACCATCTTGTCAGGAAAGAGTTGTCAGATTTTGGTTTACAGGGGTGCCCGTGAGCCATGAATCAATGTGATTTAACACTGAGAAGTTCTCCTTAAGCATTGGTTCTCGCTCTCTGGTAGGACCAGACCTGTTGTGTCTCTTGATTTGGCTTTTGTTCTCTGCCATCACCTCTCTTGCTCTAAGATGGGTCTTGAGGTTTCATACAGAGCAGATTAACACTGCTCTGTCTCTGGCAATAGAAGACAAGCCAAATTGTTGGAAATGATACAACTTTTCTAATTTTTAATAGCTTTAATTAACCTTTTGTTAGTTGTTTTAATTAATCATACATGCTGTGTTAGGCCTTAAATCACTTTTAGCCAGTGTTTAGCAGAAAGTTGTCATAAGCTACTTTTGTGGGAACGCAGCTTGGGAAAAGTACCAAAACTGTAAGTTTTGTTAAAAGTTAACCTTGAAATATTTCAATGAACAAAGCCTGGGAGAGAGAAAGATGTATTGTTGAAGCTGGACATCTGGAACTCAAGATTTATGAACTGCAAGGGCTTTTTGCAGAAATCAGCAGATAAAGAAGAAGGGTAACAAAGACTCCATAGATGTGATACAAAATCCCTTCTGAGAGAAAAAGATACTAAAAAGACTAAAGATATGAACTAATTATCATAAAAAGCAAGAAATTAATGCCCAATAAAAGGCAGAATATTAACTAAAGAGAATTATGTAATTAAGAACCAATGAACATTGACTTGTTTGCTAAAAATGTAAAAATAGGTAGAAAAATTATTTATTGGGTCTGTGTGGGGACTGAAACCTGTCGTACACCTCTGGCTAGAAATGAAGTAATGCCTTGCTTTCTAACACTAAAAAGACAGTGTTAGAGAGTTTTATGTATCCTGACAATTTTGGAGTATTTGGCAGCAGAGATAACTTCTGTTGCCTGCTCATTTGTCAGGTTTCAATGCTCTCCTGGGTGATTCACCTTCTGCAAATCTTTGTCTTTTGTTTTATGTTGCTCTGTGCATTTGGAACAAGGTCTTTCCTCCTGTGCAGGCAGTGCTGTTGCTTAGGGAAGTACAGTGTTTTAATTTCTCCACTGCTGACCAGCAGCTTCACCTGGTGGCCTGCGTTGCCCAGCTGCCTGTCCCGTGTCTGTCTGTGAAGCAGTGCCCTCTTTAGTCCTTTCTTTTCACTTGGGAAGCAGAGACATCAAACCAGGACGCCAATCCAGTTTGGCCAAAGTGTTGTTCCACGTACCTGCTGTGTGTAACTGCGTGTTTCTGTTTCTCTCCTTCAGATGACGACAGTCACACAGAGTCAAAGCTGCAGCACGAGCAGGATAAATCCAACTCCCTCCCTATTCCTTCGGTTTCCAAGCGAATCGTGCTTGGAGATTCCGTGTGCAGTGTGCCAGGCTCTGCTGACCACGCAGGGAGCCTGGCAGAGCTCCGGGGGGACAAGGACTTGTTCAGCAAAGCCCCCGAGCTGGTCAGCGAGGGCACAGGGGAGCTCCGCCACCGGCACCGGGGCGATCTGCCCCCGGAGGCTGCACCACGGCCACCCAGACACGGGCTGGAGCAGTACCTGTCCAGATTTGACGAGGCTCTGAAGCTGAGGAACCAGCTGATGAGTGAGAAGCCGAGCCAGGAGAACGGGAGTGCCGGGGAGGAGTTTGACTCTTTCCGCATTTTCCGATTGGTGGGATGTGCTCTGCTCGCCGTCGTGGTCAGGGCTTTTGTGTGCAAGTACCTGGTGAGTTCAGGGGAACAGTCCTGCTCTGCAAATTTATTGTGAAATACCCTTCATCTGGGGCTGAAGTCTGTTGGTAGTGACCCAGTTGGGAACTTCAGACACTACATTTCCACACAGCCACTGTGTAACCACTGAGAGCAGCACGTGTTTGGTCTGTAGTGGTTGAGGACAGATGCACTGGAGTAGTTGTTGCAGTTTAAGTCCCCTGCAAATTTATTCCCTTCTTTGTGAGCATATGAGTCAGCTGCTCCCCTAGTTTGGAGCGTACAAAAGAATAATAGAGTAAGAATAGTGTCCCCATCCCTGGAAATATTTGATGCCAGGTTGGACAGGGCTTGGAGCAACCTAGTCTAGTGGAAGGTGTCCCTGCCCTTCAGGGGGTTGGAATGAGATGGTCTTTAAGGTCCTTCCAACCCCAATCGTTCTGTGATTCTAGGGACAGTAACAGTTGTCCCAAGATAAGTAGATCCTACTCATTTATCAGTCTGAGATAAGTAATTCTCAGTATTCCTGGTGCCTGCCAGAACAGCACAGAGATGTGTGGCAGGCACAACCTGCCATCTCCTGGATCCCTGGGCTCAGTTTCACTCACTGCTGCTCCCTTCTGTGATTTCAGGGTTTTAGGCTCCAAATAGGGCAGAACCTTATTTTTGTCATGTAACTTGTCTCCTGAGGTTTGTAGTATTCAAGAATAGTGTTGCTGTGTTCCACGAGTTGTTTTTTACCTACTAATTTTTATTTATGACTTATGAAGCATTACATTTCTGTGTTTCTTAGCTGTTACTTCTGACCAAGTTAATTTTTGTATATTCTGTTCTGTTTCTTCAGTCAATATTTGCACCATTTCTTACTCTACAACTCGCTTACATGGGACTGTCCAAGTACTTTCCAAAGGTAATTTTTTTTTCAGAATTAGATTAATTTGAAGTGTTTTAAATTTAAATTTGTGTTTAGATTGTATTAGGACCAACACATGTGAATTATTCTTCTCTTGTTTTAACCTGTAGAGTTGTATTACCAATGCTGATAGTTTATACTAATTTTTAATCTTTCCAGATTTAGTCCAAATCTTTTTTTACAGTTTCTGTGAAAACATGGACTAGCAGCTTGTTTAGCTGTAGCCTAATTAAAAGCATCTGACCAGGAAATCCAGGTAGTTCTTTCATGTCTTCAGGAAATTTGCTTTTCTCCTAGACCACGCTCTTCTCTGGTTACTGTTTGCTCTGTCAGCAGCTGTTCTGCATGTAATATCTGGATGAAATTTGTGAGTGTGTTTGCTAAAGAATGAGGCAGAACATGGGTTTTAAGAGCTCTGCATTCCATTGCTGGTATCAGGTTGAATGGCAGCTTGAAATGAGATATTTATTTGTGTGTGAAACTTGCTGCTCATTAGCTAGATTTGCTCTATCACTTGATTCATATATTTACACCAGGCAATTGTGCTGAAGTATTTGTTAGGTTGATGATTTTGTCAGGTTTGTGCTGCAAAGTGGGATTGAATGATGTTCAATCCGTAGTTAAAAGGGAAAATTTACATTTTAAAAGGAATAATACATTACCTGTAGGAAATCAGAATAAATCAGCAGTTCTTTTGTAGTTAAGTATATCATAATAGTCACTCTAAGCTGATGTGTCACAACACAAAACAGTGGAATTAGCCTTAGATTTGCACCAGCTCACCAGCTACATCTTCTTGATCTTGTTTCTGCTGTATTTAAAATCAGCTCTTCAGTTTCAGAATTTAAAGAGGTGTTTCCTTTCCACAACATGCTTTTACTGCACTTTATTGCATGAGGTCAATCTGTTAGTTATCCTTCATTTTTCTCTCACGAAACATAGAAATGTTCTTGAAAGCTTAATTTAGATTGGATTAAATTAAGATATCCAGCAAATATCATCGAATTACCAGAATTTTCAGCCACTGTCACCTTTTCCTGCCTGTCAGACTTTGCATTCTTGGGATTCCTCATCTCAAGGATGGAACATCTTTCAGAAGGTTTTGGGAGATTTTTGAGTTCAGAGGATGAAACTTCCAAATTAAGTTGTACTAAAGTAGAAACAGTTGGGTTTTCAATTCTAAATAATTTTTCTGTTAGAAAACTGACAGTATTTATGGGGCTTGGAGCAACCTGGTCTAGTGGAAGGTGTCTCTGCCCATGGCAGGGGGGTTGGAACGAGATGAGCTTTAAGGTCCCTTCCAACCCAAAGCTTTCTGTGTTCTATTTTTTGCCAAGTAGTGTAATGAGATTAATCCAGTTCTGCCAGTGGACCTGCCAGGCTTGGCTTCTTACACCCAGATTGCCCCTGTCTGGGAATCTTCCCAGTCCTGCACAGCCCCACCTCAGCCTGCTTGGAGGCAGAATATCCGGGATCAATTTTCTCTGCTGTTCTCCAACCTCTCGCTCAGCTCCGGGGGATCCGGCACAGCAGGAATCTGTGTCTGGGATAAGTGCTGTGAATCCTCCAGTGTGTCTGGAGAGAATCAATCCAAACCTGCTGCTCTTACCAATGAATTTGGAATGTGTGAAATAGGCACAACATTGGTGACATATAAAGCAGAATTGGATTAGGAGGACTAACATGATACTGTGTTTTTATCCCTTTTAGTGTGAGAAGAAGGTGAAAACGACAGTCCTGACTGCTGCTCTCCTGCTGTCTGGGATCCCTGCAGAAGTGATCAGTCGCTCCATGGACACCTACAGCAAAATGGGAGATGTTTTCACAGACCTCTGTGTCTATTTCTTTACTTTTATCTTTTGCCATGAACTTACTTTGGTTTTTGGCTCTGAAGTACCATAATGGCTGTACAATTCCACACAGCAGCTACACTAAACCTTTCTGGACTGTGTTTCTTTAATGTCTGACACTGTGCAGACAGGTCTAAACCTTCACTAAAATTCCTACCTGTTGAAATGCTTGAAAGGAGCCTTAAATCCAGTCATTTTGGGAAAGGAAGAGCAGGGTCCCAGACTGCCAGTTGTATTGGTTCAGTTTATTTAAGTACTGTGTCTGCATATTACAAATGTGAAGACTAGGGTGCAAGTGTCAGTGGATGATTTATTTGCTTTAGTTAGATGATGCCCCTCTCAACTTCCTTCATAAATATTTACAAAGCTGCCTTTGTTCTTTTCAGTGAGAACAAGAAGAGAGTTCCCTTCAGCAGAAGCATATATATGTGTATATCCTGTATGACTGTATCTAACCAGACCTGCTC